GATTACAGTCCCCCGCCACCGCACCTGGCTTATTCTTGTATTTTTAGTAGAGGGGGGGGTTTCGCCATGTTGGCCAGGCTGGTCTCGAACTCCTGACCTCAGGTGATCTGCCCGCCTCAACCTCCCAAAGTGCTGGGATTACAGGCATGAGCCACCGCGCCCGGCTGATTTCATGTTTTGGCTGGGTTGCGTCTGGCAGGCCTATGGTTAATAAGCCAGGTCTAAATATCTCTAGGCTACCAGTGGGTCAAGTACGCACTGACAGCAATGTTGTGGATGGTGATCTGGGCTTCAAAAATGGAAGTAAACAAGGTCTGTTTTCCTTTTTTCACCCGGACGGTGTCGACGAGCTGACCTAGGAGGTAACAGGACAGGTGCATGAGGCCCCGTGTGCATCATGGGAAAGGGGATGTCTACTACTGCGACCCCAGCTACCCGTGCCACCACCCAGCCCACCCGGCCAGTGGCTCTTTGATGTTCCTTATAGCTTTTGAGAGGTTTGCTATTCAAAGGAGAATGAATCAAGGAAAACAGCACTGAAACACAATTTTGTTAAGCATGACAAGGAATGTGCTTTGGTTTAAGAAAACCCAACCCTTCTGCCAGGCGTAGGGGTGCATGCCTGTAATCCCAGTACTTTGGGAGGCTGAGATGGGCAGATCACTTGACATCAGGAGTTCGAAATCAGCCTGGCCAACGTGGCAAAACCTTGTCTCTACTAAAAATACAAAAATTAACCGAGCATGGTTGCATTTTATTAAATACAACTTTATTATATATTGATAGGGTACTTTCAGTTTTTTTTTTTTTTTTTATTTGTTTTTGTGAGACGGAGTCCTCGCTCTGTCGCTGGGAGCCTGTCGCCCAGGGCGAGTGCAGTGGCACGATCTGGCTGCACCTCGGCAATGTCTCTGCCTCCCGTGGTTCACAGCCATTCCTCCTGGCCTCAAGCCTCCCGAGTAGCTGGGGCCACAGGCGCGCCGCCACCGCCCGGCTAAGTTTTTCTTGTATTTCCTTTTGACAGAGTAGAGACGGGGTTTCACCAGTGTTAGCCAGGAGGTCTCGATCTCCTGACCTGCGTGAATCTGCGCCGCCTGCCGGCTCCCAAAGTGCTGGGTTGAGCAGGCTTGAAGCCAGCCGCGCCGGCCACATTATCCAGTTTTAACCATTGAAAATTTAGCCCGCATAATAGAGAATTACCTCCCAAGTGTCAAAATGCGCACCATGCATTTGAACGCGACTTATTTTATTTTATTTTCTATTTTAATTTTATTTATTTATTTTGAGGTGGAATTTGGCTTCTGCTATGCCCAGGCCTGGCAGTGCATGGCACATCCTCGGCTCAACTGCCAACCTCCATCCCGCAGGTTCAAGTGATCTTTTTGGCCCTGCAGCCTCTCCAAAGTAGCTGTGATACAGGGCGGCCTGCCACCTATGACCGGGCTAATTTTTTTGTGTCTTAGCATACAGAGACTGCGGTTTCAGCCCATTTGGCCCAGGCGCTGGTTACAAAACCCTCCTGGAACCCTTCAAATGATCCCTGCCACGTCAGACTTCCTCCAAGTGGCTAAGCATTACCAGGGCATCGAGCGCCCAGCCTGGCACCTGGCCTCATTTCTTGAAGATTAAGCAGTACAGAACAAACAATGAAGCTAGCTCTCATCCAAGAGTTTGTTTATAATTGATACATACTGAAAATCTGGTACTATGTGGGGCCCAGGTGACCGTGGCTCACACCTGTAAGTCACCAGCACTGTGGGAGGCACAGGTGGGGCGGCGGGTGTGGGGGGGTCAAGGCTTGAGGTCAGCGAAAAAGTCAGAGACCAGCTGGGCCAACATCGGTGAAACCCTGTCACATACTAACAAATAACCAAAATTTGGCTGGGCGGGTGGCTGACGCCTGTGAATCCCAGCAATTTGGGCAGGCCAAGGGCAGGTGGATCACGAGGTCAGGAAAGAGTCGAGACGCATCCCGGCTAACATGTGAGTGAGAACCGTCCCCTCTAATAAAAATACTGCTAACAAGATATTAGCCGGTGCGTGGTGTGGGCCCCGGCGCTGTCTCCCAGCCTATCAGGAGGCTTGTAGGCCATGGAGAGATGCATCGCACCCCGCGGGGAGGCGGAGCTTGCAGGTGAGCCATAGATCGTGCCACTGGCATTCCAGGCCCTTCAGGGACAAGAGCGAGACCTCATCCTCAAAAAAAAAAAAAAAAATTACCGTGGCCATGGTGGTGGGACGCCTGTAATCCCAGGCTATTGAGGAGGACTGAAACACAAAGAAGTCCACTTGGAGGCCTGGGAGGCCGGAGGCTGGCAGTGAGCCGCCAGATTGACACCGACTGCACGTGCCCAGCCTGGGTGACATGGTCGAATCCAGTCTTCACATACAATACAAGAAATGATACTATATTTAAAATGGTTAAAAACATATATTATTCCGGGCTGGGCACTCGGTGCTACACACCCAGCTGTAATCCCAGCACTTTGGAGGCGACCGGAGGCCGGGGCGGATCACGAGGTCAGGAGATCGAGACCAGATCCTGGCTAACAACAGTGAAACCTCCAGTCTCTAACTAAAAATACAGAAAAAAATGTAGCCGGGCCGCTGCAGGTGGGCAACCTGTACGCTCCTCGCCAGCTACCACCTTGGGAGGCCTGACGGCAGGGAATGTGGCCGTGAACCTGGGAGGCAGGCGGAGCTTACAGATAGGAGCTGAGATCAGTGCCACTGCACTCCAGCCTGGGCGACAGAGCCAAGACTCCTCCTCAAAATAAATAAAAAAATAAAACAAATAAAAAAAAATTAAATAATCACT